CTGGAGTGGAAATTAACATTTGGTTTTGGGAGGAGGGATGAATCTGGACCATCTGTCTTGTCCGTCAAATTCCAGGTGGAGGATCTCTACGAGGACCACTAATGTGGGTAATCTATCCAAAGATCCCACATAGACAGATGTGGGGTGCCAACACATCTTACTGGAACTTGACCAACACAACTCCAGGACTCAGAGGCTCTCCTCAGGAGAGCAAAATTGGAACAATGTTCCTCCAGTAAATGCCTGTAAGGAGGTTTGATTTGAATACCAATGATATTATAAGCAGGTCTCGTCTGTATTTTTTGCTGTTGTCCATGGGGAAGACCCTTAATGAGTGGACTACTTTCAAAGTGAAAAGCCAGCTAATTTCAAGGTTATATAAAAGGTATGATTTCAGCCTTTTCTGTTTGACTAGCAACTACAGTGAGTTAGATTAAGAACTCAAGAGTCATGGGTATGCATTTATAGAGATTCTACACTTCTTATTTTGCATTTGGGTATGGGAGACGTAGAAACATTCAGAACCACTTCCCTCCTTGATCTCAAGCACACCCTATCTCTGTGATCCAATCAAGCACTAGTGCTTGTGTAAAAGAATTTGCCAGATGTAATCAAAGTATCATATCATTGAGTTAATCAAATGGGATAATGGCTGAATAATTTGCGTGACTCCATCAGGTATGTAAGATATAAGCTGCCATCCTTTATAGTAGAGTAATCCACAACTGAGAGAGGACCTTGTGCTGGTGGAGCATGGCTCGCTCCAGAGACTACTCTTGAAATAGCCCTACAGGGTGTCCTGAGCCTTAGAAACTTGCAGCAGCTGAAGGGAGGGGAGAAAGAAAGCCATTTCTCAGTCCTGGAATAGCACAACTCAGAATCTAAAATCTTCCCAAGATCACAGAGGAAATGAAAGTGGTGAGTTTCAGTCTCAAATCTTTTGATTAAAAATCAAAGTCTTTGCATCAACCTTGCCTCCTCTGAGATGACTAGCTCAGCTACTACCATCTCATATCATCCATGAAGGCAGGCTGTCTTGATGCATCACTGCTCACTGACACCAAGGCAGATTTCCCTGAGCATTGCAATCTTGCCAGTTGACTAGTGCAGGAGATGCCCCTGCCACTGCTCTGGGCTACAGAGCCATAAGAGCTAACAGAAGGAGAGACATTCTCAGTGGAGGATTCTACCCTTCCAAACCAGTACATGGGGATTATTTACTCTTCTCCAGTGGTCAGAAACATGTTGAGAAGACTTCCAGCTTTGTGGTCAGAAACCGGCCTGAATTTGAAGCCAAGATGTCACAGAATGAAATCAGAAACACTAAGTTAAACTTTCTAAACTCCAGTGACACTTACCATGACTACTACTACCTCAAGGTCAGCGATTTCAAGGAGGGGAAGGCTCAGAGCCCCTCGGTTGCCATCCTAAAGGTCATGCAGCTGCCCCAGAGTGGCCAAGCCCAGGTAATCCAAGGGACGATTGTACCCAAAGAGCCCCCTGCTGAATTTGAGTTCATCTCAGATCACCTCTCCATCTCAGACTTGCACTTGGACGGGGTGAAGTTGACTGCTCTCTTTGTGGCCTGCAATATTTTTTTTGACCCAGCTGATACAGAAATCTGATGTGGACTTTCTCCACCTGCAGCAGCACAGACTATTCAACTACTTCACGAAGCTGGTGGAGTTGTATACTAAGATATTGATTCCACCCAAAGGCTTATATGCAAAGCTCAAAAAAATGGCTGAAAACCCCTGAGAAGTTTTGGATCAAGTGCGTTACCGAGTGGAGTGGGCCAAATTCCAGGAGTATGAGAAGAAGGAGGAGGAGGAGAAAGAAGGAGAGGGTGGCTTACTCTCAGATCAA